CGCGGGCCCGGCCTGGACACCGGCACCACCGGTAACCCCTGCGGCCCCCCGGCCGGCCTCTCCATGCTCCGCTTCCCGGAGGGGCAGAAGCCCTTGTTCCCGGGCCTGTTTGTACAGGGCTTTCCTTGCTAAGGCAGCTGAACTAACCCACATTCTCTGCCGGCGTGGGCATAGGCTAATTCTGCTTTCTTTGCATGCTCCTCAAGTCTTATAACCATCCATTGGTGAATCTGCAGGCTAGGCTGAGCCTTACCAAACTTAAAACCTCTGTAAACTGGCAACTGCAGCACAAGCTCACTTGAACTGGTTGGCAGCTGGGCTGTGACTGCTGTTTAGCTTAGCTCCACATCAGTGGTCTCTCGGAGCTCCAGAGATGCTCTGGCTCCCTTCCACACAGGAACACGATGTCTGCAAAGGCTGGAGGCTTCTCTGAACACAGATACGGCATTGGTGGCCTAGCTGAAAGCACCTTGTTTAACTTGCATTAACTTGCATAACCTGTTAATTAAACAGGTATGAGAGTGTACCCAGTTACCTTCTCATCGGTGTTTGCACCTCTAAGAAACTCCAAGTTAAATGTAATACAGTGTGTAAACTCTAGGGAGAGTGGTGGATTGTTGGTTGCAGTGTGCTATACGTGCTTCAGATGCTCTGTGAGCACTGACTCTTCTTGGAAATCTGGCACCTAGTTACCTGCTGTGGCTGCCCTGTCTGATAGTTCTCAACTCAAGAATCTAGGGTTTAGGATTTGGCCTTTTTAATTTGTGATTTATGGGCTTAGTAAGAAAGTACGAAAACATTCCAGGATATGCACTTGGATTTATTTAGTTGTGTCCTTTCTTGGGCCATGCACACAGGTGAACAGCAGAGTAAAATGGATTTGTGTTTTTCCCTTTCCCATGCAAGGCAGCTAGGTCCTATTGCCCTATCTACTGCTGTCTTTTGTGGATCTCATTTCATACCTTGCCTTCTCCTGAGAATTAAAACAAAACAAACCTGCAGTTCCTCAGTCAAAGCCTCTGCTGTTCTGGAGAAACCAAGCAGCTGGTTTTGGAAACATGTGGCTATACTATGTAAAATAAAGGTACTATAGCCTGTGCTGCTTTAATAGGTGGAAACAAAAGCACTCATTAATACTAGGCACTGATGGTTCAGGGACAAGGGATTTTTTCTCTGTCTATAAAGGTGCTTGGGGTTGTTTTTAATGCAAATAGACTGTTTAACCTCAGTAAAATTACTCTGTGCCCCCTTGTTGAATCCTGGCTGCTGCCAAAAGCTGAATGCCCTGGGAGCTGCTGAGCAGTGTTTCCAAACAATGACCTAGTGTAGAGCTTTCAGTGGGCGGTGGGTGACCACCTGAAATGTCCCCCCAGGAGGGGTGTGTGTCTGCAGCCTCCAACAATGCGAGCCTTCATTTGGGGCACAGGAAAAAAGCAGTGACTTTGGAGCAAGAAGTCTTCAGTGAGAAGCTGTGAAGCTTGCTGGCTTTGGAAGTTAATTTTCCTCTGTTTGAGTGGTGCATATTGCAAGCTGCTTGTGTTACCTCTTGGACAGGCAGAACCAGTAAGATTTACTGCTAAAACACTGGAAGATGGTAGAGTCCTCTGTAGGAGCCTGGTTCTTCCAGCGTTGTGGCACAGCAGCCTCTTGTGTGGAAGGTCTAGAAACTTCTCCCTGCTTTGTCACCACAATTGCGTCGTTCAGTCACAGCTGTAGTAAACTTTCCTGCAAGCCCCTGGTTTTGATTGAGCTCAAGCATGTTATTCCTCCTCAGCAGTGTCTGATACAACAGCCATAATGTCATAAATATTTGATGTAAGAGTTTGACGCTAAATTATCTGGGGGCTGAAAGCCTTGCTTAATTTTTGTGTTGCTGGTGCTGTGTTATTAGTACTAGCAGCAATAATTCATCTGTGTTAACCAGATGCTGTAATTAAATAAGCTTTTGTTTCCACAAACTGCTTGGAGTGCTGTTGGTGAGCAGTTCAGGCACTCATCTCCTCCAGGACATCTCCTGCCCCTTGTCTCTTGCTTTCTTGTGGGGCTCTTTGCTGCTGAGGGATGGTCCGGGCAGTGAGATGGCTCTGAGCTTTCCCAAGCTTAGCCATGCAGGAAGCTCTGTCGGTGTGGGCTCCAATGCCCAATAGAAGGGCTCTTGTTCTAAAGAGTTTTCTCTCTAAGCCAGTCGTCTGGTGCCAGAACCCTTCCATCTCGGTCCTAAAGGGCTCTCATGCCCCCTTTTCGTGCCCATCCTGCGGTCACACGGTGCAAGTGGAGGAGGGAGGCAGGGTGCTGGCAGGGAGCCTGCTGGGGTGCAGAGCCCCTGGCACACTGTCCCTCCCTGCCTGCAGCCCCCCACCGAATTACCCATTCCTTTTTAACAACGGGCTGCTTTTTAACAGTGGGTGTGAGGAAGCATGTCTCTCACTGTGCTACATCTTTCTAGGACTGCAGTCGGAGTTTTTCATTAACACGACCAAGGCTGGTCCAGGTACCCTCTCTGTTACTATTGAAGGGCCATCAAAGGTGAAAATGGACTGCCAGGAAACTCCAGAAGGTTACAAAGTCATGTACACACCCATGGCTCCAGGAAACTATTTAATTGGAATTAAATATGGTGGACCTAACCACATAGTGGGCAGCCCCTTCAAGGCAAAGGTTACAGGTAAAAAGCTAACCAGTATCTACTGTGTGCCTGAAGTAATTGGTGTCATTCAGCGGATATGTTCTTCCAATATATTGCAATATTCAGGTCTAGATGCCCAAAATCAGGAGAAACAGAATGTTCCTCCCCATTGCCCCCAAAGCCTAGATAAGGGATCTCAGAAGAGGCTACAGGAACATTAATCACATAGCTTGCCAGCTTGACTGAGTGGAGGGCTGTAAAACAGTTAGCTTCATGGGGGAATATTAAATCCTGACCTAGTGCTAGGGTCATTGGCAGTGGGGAATTATGACTTCCCCATATCCCCCTGCAAAGTCTGAAACCTAGTTGCCTGTAGCATAAGTGGTGCCTCTCCTGGTCTCGCTTTGGTGCAAGTGTCACCTAACCAAAGGTCAGTAGTGTCTGGGAGACTTTTAGGTGACGTGAGGAAGGCTTATTTAGGAAGCTTTTTCTCTCTTCAGTGCTATATTTGAGCACAGGCTGGCACTCATCTCTAGTGCTGGCCCTGAGCTAGTGAACCCTCTCCTGGTGCCCGTGGCACAGTCGTCTTGGGAGCGGATGGCAGGGATTGCTCTCCCCTGGGCTGGGACATGCTCTGCTTTCAAAAGGGGTTATTGCAAAATTGCACCTGCTTTTCTGCCAACTTGAGTAATTTTTGGCATTTGGTGATTGGAGCACAATTAACTCTTCTTAAGCAGCCAGCTTTGCTTAATGAATCCTGAAGTTCCTGTGGTGCTTTAACCACTCGAGGGCTCCGGGATGGGATGGTTGCCAGCATTGCTGGAAGATGTCGGCTTAAAAACCCCAGTAGAAAATTGCTCCTCTCTGAAAATGCATTTTGGATGCAGAATGCATGCTAGTCATTTGGAGGCTTTCAAAACCTCCTTGTAAGTGTCTTTCAGATGGGGTGAATCTGAACGGCAGAAATCTTTTCTGTTTCCAGGACAGCGACTGGTTAGCCCAAGCAGTGCCAACGAAACTTCTTCCATCCTGGTAGAATCAGTGACAAGGTCATCAACTGAAACTTGCTATAGTGCCATTCCCAAGTCCACCTCGGATGCTAGCAAAGTGGTTTCCCGGGGAGCAGGACTCTCAAAGGCTTTTGTGGGTCAGAAAAGTGCCTTCTCCGTGGACTGCAGCAAAGCAGGTATGGGTACGGGAACCAGCTGGATGTTTTTTGCCCTAAACCAACTTGCCAAGTTAAAATTTGGAGCTTGAGGTGGTGATTTTTTTTCGAAAGAAATGCCCTAAATGTTACAAGATGCTCATCAAATCACTCCTAATGTAGAGGCTGTAAAGACACCAGTTCCTCTCCAAATGGCTTTATCTGAGCCGGGTGTGCCTGAAAGAAACCACAGGGTTATGGCATGAGAACAAACAGGTTGCTGAACTTAAGCAACCCTCGTGGTGCATTGTAGCATGTAATGCAAGGTATTCCCTTAAGCCTTGAGCACTGATCATCATCTGTGAGCTTTGTGGTGGGTGGGTGGATTAGAGGCCAGCCATGTTCACTGGTCTCTGCTATTAACAAAGTACTTGGAAGGCAGTGCCTGCTCGCTTTCACGAGCAGTTAGTATCCTGTGCTCTAGTTAGTGGCAGCCTGTCAGGTCTGTCAAAATGCACAAATAAAGCCTTGACTCTGAGGCTGAAGGCTTTTTAAAAATTATTCCTTCTTATACTAAATGAGTTTAGCCATCCCTCAGCCTACCCCTCTGTGAATCCTTATGTTTTGAAATCCTTATGTTTTGGAGCTAATATATTGTGGTACAACCACGCTTATTTGTTTAAGCTTAGGAATGCTAACAGTCTGTTATTTTGCTGTAGGTTCAAATATGTTGTTAGTTGGCGTCCATGGACCCACAATACCATGCGAAGAGGTATCCATCAAGCATCTGGGCAGCCATCAGTACAATGTGACATATATGGTCAAGGAAAGGGGTGACTACGTTCTGGCAGTGAAATGGGGTGACGAGCACATCCCCGGGAGCCCCTTCCACATCACCGTGCCTTAAACTCGCCGCACGTCAGAGCCGACTTTTGGGTTTGCAGTTCAGACATAGAGTTAAACTGGGTGTAGTCCTCTTGCAAAATGCAGTCTCTAGATAAACACGGCTCACATTTCAGTACAGTCAGAAGTAGACTCTGTAACTTCATTTTTGACAAGCATTTCACTTCTATCCCACTTATCAACCTAATGTCGATCTATTTAATGTCCTCATCAAATTGCACCTTTGCAGTGCTCTCCAGGTCACTATTAATGTTTGGAGAATCAGGTGGATAGCTACACACTAATTTTTCCTTGTGGATGTCAAAGACTTTAGATGTCAATTGAAAACTGGAATTTGTCTTTGTAATTGGGTATCTTAACTACTGATTTTATTTGACTGGAGACTTTTTGTTTTAGTTACGGAGTATGACTTGGGCTGTCCCCAGTTCAAATTGTTTTCTGTAAAGAAATGAGGTAAAACTGGTACTATAATAGGTGCCTTTGTCTACTTGATCAATTTTAACATTTAACATTAGAAAAAGCTACTAAAAGTGGCTTTACCACTCAAAATGTTTCTAAAAATGCTTTGCTAATGGTTTACATTTAGGAAAAGTTCATCTTTTATAGCAAACCAAAAGCAGACTGAAAATTACTTCCTGGAAGCTTTCAGCCTTTCTGTGTTAACACTTTGTAAGTCTAGACAGGTAGCTTTTTGGCCATGATGCTAGCAATGCAGTTTTTAATTGCCTTGGGATTCTGGTGAGATTTCTGTAACTTCACAGGTCACTCCCCACACTATTTGATTTATTTTAAGAACAACCCCCAGCTTGGCTGGGTTAGACAAAGGCCCTACACTTGCCAAACCAGGCATAGCTCTCACCTGTGTGACCCTAAATTGATGCAGGTCAGAGCACAGCAGTGTATTTGGAAGATAGTCAGTGGGCTATGGGCCCAGCAAGGAGCTGAGATGGTGCAGAGAAGCCCGCCTGGAATTGGGACCCCACACCCGTAGTCAGGTACGGGGCATGAGGGAGGGCAGGTGTGCAAATCTACCAACATAGCAATACCAAGTAACAAACCTGTCTCTGGTGCAAGTCATTTTATTGTATCTCAGTCCAAGGACATGCCTGAGGCACACTCATCTCTCCTGAAATCCCCTTCGTCCTGCAAAAGGCATTCTGCCTGAGGGTCCGGGAGTGAAAACTTCCATTATAACTTGTCTGTTTGTCCTGGATTACTCCATGCTGCTTCCCAAGTGCATCTCTGAATTGCTGTCAGCTGCTGGGGCTTTAGTAAACTCTCCAAATGAGCTTTAACTCTGTGATTAGAAGGTAGAATTTGTTGAAAACTTGTTGAAGCATCCCAGTCTGTCCCTCGGGAGAAGTTCATGCTTACAGTTCTGTAGTTGTGTGGATGCACTACTCTCCAGCACATTCCTTTGGGAAATAAGAGACGGTTGGGTTTTTTTTACTGTGCTTTTTTTGTGCCTTAATGTGAAATGCTCACTACATTGTAAACTAGAAAGTAAAAACAAAATAAACTGGAATAAAATGCAGGATTGTAAAATTGTATCTTATAACTTATTAAATAGAAATGTTTGCTTCATTAAAATGTGCATGTTAAAACCAACAGTGGATTCTTTTCATATGTAGTCAGTAAAGTTTAAACTGAAACTACAGCGCGCAGCAGCTGCAGGCTGATCAAATAATCCCTGGCCCGTGAGCCGTGCAGGTAGCTGTGAAAAACATGGGCCATAACCTCTGCCATGCACTTTTTTTGTCTCTAAAACTTTTTGCCTGAAACAGCGTCTGGGAAAAGTTCAAGCCATGTCATAAATGTACTGAGTGGCAGGAGGTGGGGTGTGAACGGGGCGTGACGTGGCCGTGCAGATGTTCTCCTAGACCCAGGTCCCGGGCCAGCGGCGCCATGGAGCCGCGTGTCCCTGTGTCCCCATGGTGCCACCACGGCTATTGATCTGACCTCGGGGCGCTGTGGGCAGCACCCGCCAGCTCCTCGGGGTTGTTTGCAGGAGGTGGTTCCCAGCCCGGCCAGCCCCAGCACATGGCCATGGAAACCAGCAGATGTTTTCTCAAACACGGCTCCCACTGGAAGTCCCGCTGAAAGCCGACACGCAGCGCCTGCCAAGGACTTTCCTGCCCCAGGTTTATCAGATTGTTTCCTTTCTGTAGTTAACTGTCTCATTAGCTTTGTGCTACGTCAGCCTGGACCTCCTATTTTAATGTTTTTGAACAAAACAAAAAAAAACCACACCTGGATACAGTGGTTGGGTTGAGTAAGCCTTGAGAGCCTCCTTCCTGTGTGACTCCTGCTGCACGGTAACCCTGCTCCTGTCTGACCTTCTCTTGCCTGTTACTGCTTGGTGTCTTGGTCTCATCACAATGCCTGAAATTAAGGGGAGTTGTCTGTGAAGCTGGTGAACCTTGTTTGTCACTTTGAGGCAATTTCCAGCAAAAACTGAGCTTTGCTGCAGATAAGCAATTCTGCCTTGCTTGGGCACTGAGACCTGTGGGATGGCCACAAGAATTAACTTGCTAAGGAGAGCAAGGACCTAGTGGTGTTGATGAAAACAGCTTTTGGTGCAACTTGGTTGCGTCAGGCTTCATTGGCAACAATATTCAGCCAATTCTGGAAGCTGGAGACTGACTTTGGCTACAGAGCAGTGCTTTGAGGGACAATTTTCTCTGCTTTGGTCTTTGGCACCTTGACGAAGGTGTCTGTTTGCAGTGCCCACCTTAGCAGGCAGCTGCAGGGCTGGGGTGTTGGTATACTGGGCTACTGGCACCCCAGTGCCTCTTGCTGGGTTGACTTGCAATGGTATGAGATGTGCTTTCTGCATTATTTACAGAGGACTGGGGAGGAGGAGGGAGGTGCCTCTAACTGTGGAACTGTTTTTTTCTGCCAAGTCAGTTAAGCTTTTCTTTGTTTATAATTGCTCTTCTGGTGGTGATTTGTAGTAGGATTTGACTACCTGCTACCTGTGAGTCCCACTGGGAACTTGTCTGTTGCCCCCTGAGCTGCCCCAAACTGTCCTGCAAGCATTCTGCTAGATCTGGCAGTGCCCTTGGTAGCCAGCTTGCCTGCTGGTGGCCAGTGACTGGGGGCAGCCCAGTTAGGGCACTGCCACATAAGAAAGCCTGCTGGGACCCTCTGCACCTCTAGGAGGTTCACTGGGTGTTCGGGTGGGTGGTGGAAGGTAAGTCCCTGCAGCACACCAGTTTCCTAGGGATGGTAACTTTTAAGAGCATCCTGTCCCCCTGCCTGGGATTTGATGCTGGAAGGATTTGTTCATCTCAAGGGGCAAGGAGAAGGGGTGTTTGGAGATCATGTCCTGGAGCTGGAGCTCATCACAACCTGCACACTCAGCCTGTCCTTCACACTACTGAAGTCTGTCCTGTAGCAGTCCCTGTCTCTGGACTCTGCTTGGTCCTGCCATGCCCGGGGGTCTTGCCTGCATTTGCTGCCTTCTGGTCTTTTTTGTTTTGGGAAACTGTTAAGAGTTCCTTCTTCAGAGCCCTCTGGGTGTCCCTGGCCTTGCCTCAGCATGTTTCTGATGGCCATCACTGGAGCCAGCATGGTGAATATCTCCTGTACTGGGGCATTGTTACAAACTGAGAATTGCATTTTCTCTTGTGCAGCTCTATTACAGAAGTGCAGTCAGGAGAACATCCACCACTTCTGATCAATGCCTTGGAGGCTGCTCCTAGGGGCAGGTGGGGTGGTTGATGGCCCCTCCATGCATATATAGTGTACCTAAACCTGCTGAGAGCACAGCCCTCACTTTCTGCACCACTCAAAATGTGAAGGGACACCTTTTGTGGTGTTGTGCCTGATAGAAACGATGCGAGTGGTCTCATGTTAGCTGGGGGAGGCAGGTTGTCAGGCCAGCTCTGTCAGGCGCTCCCTGACAGGGGTGGAGGTCCCGGTTTGCTCTGGGTATCCCTCACACCGGGCACAAAGCTGCCTTCTGCAGGGCTGAAGGTGCCTTTGGCACCTGGCTGTGCCTTGTTTTGGGGAAAAAATCCCAGATGTGGCACTTGCTGGGGGGCCCCAGGCTGTGGCACGGACTTTAAAATTCTTCAGCTCTGTCACTTGCCCAGCAGCAGTCCAGGAATGTGGGCGTTTGCTTGACAGAGTAGCTTCAGCTTTTTGGAAATAAAGCTTTAAAGTGCAGCTCCTTCCAAAAGGTGTAAGGTGCTACTTCTGCTGCCCCAGGCTGGGAGAAGGTGATCCAGCCAGGGCCTGCCAAGAGCTGGTAGTCTTCTTCAGTACGTGCATGCCAGTAAAACAGCAACCATGTCATTTGTACCTGCTGTGTTGTTCTTCTTGCAATGTAATAAGCCTTGGATGGTGGTATTTGGGGTGCAGCACCAAGTGCCTTGCTTTATTAATGGGCTGGAACCCATTAGCAGAGGCACATTTATTATCTTGAATAACTTAAAGATATATATCTTTATTTTAATAATTTATTTCAAATTAATCCTTTAATTACTTTATATCTCTATAAACGATAATCCAGGATACTTAATTTTTCTGGTGATGTTTCTGCAGCAGAAAGCCTCCAGTTTGTGCTGGGCCTGGGCCTGCACAGGGTACTTCGTGTGTCCAAATTGGAACTCCACCCGCCAAAAAGCACTGAGCTGCCCTGATGTTCATCGGGTGTATTCACCATGCGGTGGTGGGGCTGCTGCTTAGCAGGACTCTGGTTTGGTCAGATTATGCAAACCCTGTAATTAGCTTTCCCTCTAATTGTCTGTGGAAAGCGAGATTGTGAAGTTTCTGATCCAGAGCTTGCTTTTTTCTCTACTCAATTTTAACTTCCAAATATATTTATTTTAAACTGGTTTAAAAATTTTCAGTTTTGTTTTACCCCACATTGAAGCATACTTACAGTACAGACAATGCACCTTTCTTACTTAAAAGTAAGCAAACTATGTATTAATCCCATTTAAAAGCCTGTCCAAAGTGGTTATGTATAAATAGACATCAGAAACTGGGATGGAGTTTCATGAAACTGTTCGTTCAGGGAATGGCACAATGCTTTCTCACACGGTGGGGTTTATTTGTTTGAAGAAAGACTCTTTGCAAAGCATTTATTAT